AACAATCTAACAATTAAAAGATACATGTCAAATTTTGCAAATATAAAAAGGAAGGGCAAAATAGTATTTTAACAATAAAGCCCAATACTATTGTTGATTAGACCATTTAGAAAAATTTCCCCAAATTTGGTTTGATCTGCTCCGGCTCCTTTATTTTTCAAAACTAAATTGTATAATGTCAGTAAATTTTTGTGAAAACATTCTTGTTTCTTTTTCGGGTGACACAATTGTTGATTATTATAAATGCATATAAATTGTAAAAAATTTGATTTAATTGAGAGATTGTAAAAAATTATAATTTTAGAACCGAATCAAAATTCGATTTTATAGTTTGAAAATAAGTATGTAAAAAATGAATTTTAAAATAATGAGACTCAAACAGATATACAATTGAAAAGTGAATAAAAAATTGTGAACCTAATGAAATGTATGATTGCAAAATTTAGAAGTGAAATTAAATTTTTGAAAAATGAAAACCAAACAAAGACTTAGGTCGGTATCAGTGTATTTTCTAGCAGTTGAACCCATATAAACCCAAAATCACTAAGCACTTCAATTCAAAGATTAGTGAGGTCATAAAACAATTACAGCCTACTACAATCGTCGTACTTTGTTAAGGAAAGTTTTAAAAAGTTAAAGTCAACAATTATTTTTTATTAGACATTTTATGGGATTTACAAATTTTATTAATTTATAAATCAAATATTTGTTCAACTTTTATTAAAATTTGATAATTTTTTATCAAACAACCCTTTATTCAAAACTAGTGGCGTGCACGTGCAATGCACGTGTTAGAATGTAGTTGGCTACCTAATAGTGTGGGGTGATTTTTCGCGGAGTGATATTTAGTCATACTATAAGTAAGGCAATGTAGGAGAATGAAGCGGATAGAGGCATAGAGCAATTAAAGAAATTATATTTCCAACATGATAGACTTTATCAAGATGCTAGCATAGAACACGGCAATGTGAATTCATAAAGTGGAAAGTCGAGAAATTTTGTTAGTGGTAAAATCACATATTGGATTATGAACATTGATTCTCTGCATTAGAATTAATGAATTGTATATTAATATACTTATGATGTGCATGCCTTTACACTGCACAAGTTACTCCTAGTGGATTATTGACAAAAGAATAGAAGAAGAGAAGAGAAGAGAAGCATACATTTGGAACAAATGGCCACAGTTTCGTCAGTTGCTTGTTTAGTCATTTCACCTGAAAGAAGAAGCAAAGCACAATGAGATGATGAAGGGCTAACAATGACCAATTCCAAATCACTCAGAAAAGAGCAAAAGATCACACAAGTTCAACGGCATATATATTATGACAAAAACCTTAAACCAAACCTCACGAGAAAAATGAGGTGTCTGCCAAGATGATCTAAACTTAAAGAGTATATTTTTATAGCAAAAGGAGATGTGACAAACTTCCATCTGCATAGTAGGAAAATTTCGGCTGGATATTTCTCTAGTCATTCTCAAGGAGATAATTTCATTATACGAAGCACGTTTTGAATGTTCATAACCAGTTCATGCTCTTGTATTGAGCATGTATCATGTAATTTCTAATTCCATAACAATATCAATCCTATTTTGCTTCCTTTTGAAGTCATAAGACTTTGAAGTTCTGATTAATGCTCATAGTCAGAGTGAAAAAGGACTCCTTTCAAATGGGAGTTGTGGTTAAGACAAAAAGACTGTTATAGAAGGTCTTGCTCCTCACACTTGGAAGCAACCAGGTTGAGGAATGAGGCAATGAGAAGCTAAGAAGCTACTTTCCATTGTTATTCATTTGTGTTTTCCCTTTAAGGTTTTAGAATCTGTTTTTCAGTTTGTTGAATGCATGCATGTCTCTATGAAACCCAACACGGAAGCATTAACTTGTTGAGGAAGGGAGATGGTATAATTTCTGGAGTATCTCATTCCTGGTTGTAGCACTTCCTGACATATCACAGGGCAAAACATTGCAACCTCTTCTTCCATTTATTGGATCAAATCATCAGTAGTCTGGAGCTAGATAAATGATTTCAACTATATAGAGGAAAACATAAACAAAATATTAATCAACTATGACACTTTAATACAAGTAAATATTATGGCAACTTAAACACAGAATATGCACTACAGGTTTAAAACTGTAAAGCTTGCACTACATTTGTAGAACGTTACATGATTTTGTAACGCCCCGAATTTCGTGAATCCGGATTGTCACGTCATCGTCTTTTGTAGCTGATTTAACCAAAAGGTTTGCGGAAAATAACTAAATTCTAAAACATCGAATTTATAACGGTAAAACCTCGTCAACAACAAAATTCATTTGATTACTTAAGGAAAATCGTTTAAACTTCAAAACTCAAGTTTGAAATAACGGAAACAACAAAATAAGTTCATAATGCGTAAATTTCAACAGCAAATAACTTCGACTATTAATTTATGCCACCGCTACCCATCACATTCGACCGTCTCCGAAATCTGCAAATATTGTTAAAATAACGGAATAGTATTTCGATGAAATACTCAGTAGACCCATCGTGGATAATTAATTTACAGAATAATTGAACACGTAATCAAGCAATTCTTATCGTGACATCATCATCATAGACTCATTTTCTTGAAAATCTAGGCTCTTTAAAAATATAGGGTGTGGGTAGTCTCGTCTCGTGCATTTAAGCACATAAGTTATACATAACATTCTCATCATATCTCATAAGATATTCTCATCTTCTTCTCATGCAATAAAGCATATAAGTTATGACAAGCATAACAACATCATATATCTCATATGACATATTCTCATCTCATGCATCAAAGCATATAAATCACGTAAATTCACATAATACATGCAATTATAATTTAAACTAATTAATGGTGGCGAGTCTACCTCAAATATTTCGAGTTGCGTGAAAAGTGGAGTAGGAGGAAACTTCAATCTCCTAATTGTTCGTACGTTTCATCTAACCAAAATAGAATTAGGTTTTGAATTAGTATTCCTAAATTTAAAATTTTAAAGCGATAAAATAAAGTTTAGGGACCTAATTGAATACTTATTAAAATTGAATTTAACAAATCTATGGGCTGAAAATAATATTTTCAAAGTAATTGGCTAAAAGTCGAAAATAAGAACTCTAAGGACTTAATTGAAAACTATTGAATCTGAAAATAAAAGTTTAAGGTCTGAAATTGAACTTTTTAAAAAAATCAGGTACTTAATTGAAAATCTATTAAAACTGAAAATAAAATTGAAGGACTGAAATAGACTTTTTCTAAAATTAGGGGACTGACTGAGGGAAAACAAGGAATTCTAGGGACTGATTAGCTTATGACTAAAACCTTGGGACTGAAATGGAAATATTTAAAACTTAGGGCTGTTTTCTTTAAAACGAAACTCTAAAGATTGAAATAAACACTTTTAAAACTTTGGGGCTTAGGGCAAAATTCAAAAATCAAAATAAAACAAAAATAAATTAAAACTAAAACATTTCACTCTCTCGATTTCTCTCATTTTCAGAGAGGAAGAGAGAGATCAACGGGAGTTGAACGAAGATGGGGGTTCAGCCCCTTCCCGGCCTCCCACTGACGGTGCTCAGTGAAATAGGTAAGTTCCTGGGCTAGGTTATGTTCTTGGTTTTGCTTGGTTTATGTGGTTGTTTGATGTGGGTTTGGGTTGGAATAGGGGCAGTTTGGTGTTGCTTTTGGGTGGAGTAGTGGGTCGATTTCTGTTGGGTTGTGGGAACGACGCTGAGGTGTTTTTAGCTTGTGTGTGTGCAGTCGATGATGAGAGGTGAGCTGGGTGTGTACGAAATTGATGTTGGTGATTCGAATGGTTGTTGGCTTGGTGGTTTCGGTTTTGAGCTGTTGGCAGTGGACTTAGCGATTTGGGTGGTGAGTTGGTCTCGGTGGTTTTGGTTTTGAGCTGTTGGCAGTGGAATTGGTGGTTTGGGTGGTGAGTTGGTCTCGGTTTGATGAATGGGCTGCATTGTATCGATTTTAGGTGGTGGGTTTTAGCTTGTGTGTCTCTTGTTGATGCTAGAAATGGATGTTCTAGCATCAATAGTGAGCTCACTATAAATCGATTAAAGAGCATTCTTGGGGAAGATGAAATTTCCTTACCAAATTTGGCCGCAGTGTGAGGTGTGAGGAGTGGAGAGAAATGAGGGTAAATAAAATAGTAAATTTAGGGCACAAATATCTAGGTAACCTATTGGGCCAAGAAGTTGGGCAGTGAGGGTTGTCCTAGTTAGACCTAAGTGAATTGGACTAAAAATAATCAAGACTTGGGCTAAAAGAATTTCGGACTTTAGATAATAACACATTGTAGTTAAAACTATTAAAATTGGGATTTAAGAATGATAAGGAATCGAGATTCGAAATTGAACTTGACTCGAATAATTTAAATTGATTTTTATCACGGCTAGACGAATACGTTTTCACTTTAACGTTAGGGTTTAAAATTAGCGACACGTTTTTCGAGAAAAATAATTTTTATATAATTTAAAATTCTTGGTCGCTACATATTTGACTCAATTTTGGCAATTTTAGACTCTAGTGGTTTTACAAGCAAGATATTTGAGTAATCAAACTGGGACCACATCCCAATATTCTATAATATGATATATAGTTATTATTTAAGTAGTCAGCGTAGAACCTGAGATTGAATAGTGATAAAGTCTGTATAACTATTAGAGTTTCTGGTAGATTCTTGAGAGGGAAAAATAAAAAATTTCAGAAAGCACTTTCTTGGCGATGAAGAAAATGATACTGGAGCCTCAATTATCTGAAAGACGTAATACCGTTTTATGTAAATGAAAGGCAGACTATTGACTCTTGTTCCTTCCTTCGATAGCTTTACTTTGAACACTTAAGATGGTTCCTGTTTGTTTATTCCAAGAATACTCTTGTTGCTCGAGCAAGCAGCTTGGCTGCACTCATTGGTTGCATCTTCTGCATTAGCATTAGGAACAAAATTGTCAAGTGAACAATTTCCATGTTTGAGTATCTTTCATAACTTCATAGAAGAAGGCAAATCTTCCAGAACTGCTTTCTCTTTCGTCAAATTTGCTACGTTGATCCTAATCGATGCTGAAATGGTTTCGAGATAGTACGTCAAAAAAGAGCAAATAGCAGCACACCCTTGGTAGATAAAATCTTCATAGAGAGGCTCGCCTTCTTCATCTCTTGGGATCTGTAAGGAAAACATAAGGATGTAGAGAAGTTCTAATAGGTAAACTATAAACAAATATAAGGAAAGCAACTTTCCAGAGAGAGTTACATGATAAAATCTAGAAGGTTGAAAGATTTGAAAATGCCCCATTATCAGTGAAATTAGTTGATCTATATAGAAAATTGCTTACCTATGTTTAAATATAAGTAACTAAGTTATCACACGAATAATTTTTATTGATAAAAAATTGAAATTAAATTTCTTATATGACATTAAGAGTTACATCACAAATAAGTATCTTTTTACATAAAAAGTAAGAAAATGTAACTTGTCTACGCATGTTTGGAAAGAAATTGTAGACCATAACAACTCCTTGAGTACAGTCACGTCTACGTCGTGACAGAGGAGTTGCATCCAATACCTCTAAAATAATACATGCTATTCAGCAAATGCAATGCGACATGATTAGGTAGAGAGATGTGCCATTAAAACTAAAACCAAGAAGAAAGATGCATCATTTTTCTGTCTTTCAAAAAGTCACAGTTGATCTAAATAATAAATAATACTAATCTCTAATCAATAATAAGTGTATATACAACATACTAATCAAGAAGCAACAACAAACAAATACAAAAACCAATATCGAACTAAAAAAATGTCAAAGGAAGTCCTAAAAATTTGGTAATATAATTAAGATAAAACCAGCACTCAATATAGCAACAAAACTAATAATTCATGAGGATACAAACAAAATTGGCCCCTGTTTGGCTCCATTTTGTTCAAAATGTATTTTTTCCTCTTTTTAACCACATATTCTCTAATAAAATAATATTACATGTAAACCCAAAACTTGTTCTTTTTTAACCATACATTTTCCAAAAGATCATTATTCCAAAATACATTTCCCTCAAAAGAACACATAAAAATGGAGCTCAAACAAGGGTTTGATCTTTTGTCCAAGAGCCCAAAATTTATTTCAGCAGATTGGCAAGTTGGAATAGTGTTTTACTGCTTGGGATACAACTATATGCATTTCACGCTCTTAAGGAATGGAATCATAATGAAATACAAGGAAAGTATGTTTACTGGAAGTATATTTTTAAAGTTTTGATGATATTTTTACAGGAGATCTTTTCGACAATACCAATGTGTTATTTCTTTGAAGATCTACCGCAAAATCCTAGTTGCACAAACATGTTCAAAAGAAACGAATGCTTAAAGAGTCTAAAAACAGTTACTGTGATTTCATTGTTATATACAGAATTTGAGCCGATAAGATAATGTTACAAACCTGCATTCCTTCACATCGACTAATACCAATAACAATGTTTGCTTCCTGAATTATACCAACATCATTTGCACCATCACCGATTGTTAATGTGGTTTTCCTAGTTCCTTCTTTCACTAATTTTGTTACCTGGTTGCTAAGTATCATCAGTAGAAATGAAGGATAGAGTAGTCGTAACTATGAGCATGTTGCCTAAGCTTAAACACTTTTCATAAGTAGGTTAAGCTTAAACACTTCATTAACAAGTAAATAAGTTTTTAAAGTTGGAAAAAATTATTTATTTTAACAATAAAGTAAGGATTACTCATGAAAATGTAACGAATTTTACTTTAAAGCAAGAAAAAGGTTAATCACTTGAACATGTTAGCAACAGAGTAACCTTTACTTTTTTAGGCTTAGCCTAACATGCTTGGCAGTGTTATCTCAGAAAATTTAAGAAATGAATTGCATAAGACGGAGCGTGAAATTCAATAAGTAGATAAGACAAAAAATGTTTGACGAGAGCTGTCTGTTTTGGTGGAACAAGACGGCATATGACAGAAGTACAATCAACTGTTAAATTCAAAAAGAAAAATGTTAAGTGTACATAATAAATGTACACAATGATTGACACAATGTAATGTGGCACCCATCATGTCGTTGATGTTTAAATGTCAGATTTGAATTAAAGGTTTGAATGAATGCTACGTGTAATTATGTAGACCATTATGTAGAAAATTATATACTTGTAGCATCACTCATTCAAAAATTGATGCTTCATGTCATTCTCCAATGCATAAGTTAGAGTTTTACCATCAATGATTAATGTGAATGCAGCATGGGGATGCTTTTCAAGCTTGATCACTTGAGACCCATTGGTGATTTGCATCAAGATATTTTCTTTCATGGACTGAGAAGTAAATAACTCACCTTCCTATTTGGATAATTTGATGTTCTGATCAAGTGGTACTCTAGCAGGGGCTGATCCTATTGTTCATGTATCTGCTAGAATGTCAATGGCATATTTTCTTTGGCAAATGTGTATCCCCTCCTTTGATCTAGCAACTTCAATACCTAGGAAAAATTTCAGCTTTCCTAAGTCTTTGATTTTGAATTGTGCATCAAGTGTTGCCTTGAGATTGTTGATGGTCTCCAAACAATTTTCAGCCACAATTATATCATCAACGTAGACTAGAACTACTATGAAAGAGTCTTTAGTCGATCTAACAAAAAGGCTGTAATCAACTTTGGACTGAGTGAAGCCTTGTTGAAGAATGAAATTGGATAGCTTCAAGTACCATTGTCTCGAAGCTTGTTTGAGTCCATACAAACTCTCACGAAGTCTGCATACCTTTGACCCTGCCACATTGTCATAACCCAGTGGCAACTCCATATATACCTCCTCATTTAGACCTCCTTGCAAGAAAACATTGTTCACATCTAGTTGGTATAGGAACCAACCCTTCGTGGCTGCAATGGCAAGTAAGGTTCGAACAGCTACAAGTTTTGCCACTGGTGAAAAGGTTTCATGGTAATCCAAACCTTCTCGTTGAGTGTATCCTTTCGCCACTAGCATAGCCTTGTGTCTCTCCACACTTCCATCAGCATTGAATTTGATTTTTTAGACCCATTTACAGCCTATTGCTCTCTTTTTAGGTGGCAAATCAACTATAGTCCATGTATCATTCAACTCAAGAGCCATAATCTCACTCTTCAAGGCCTCACGTCATTCAGGAGACTTAACAGCTTCTAGGTATGTTTGTGGCTCATTTTGTGTGGTGATAGAAGAGACAAATGCTTTATGAAGTACAAACAATTTATGATATGACACAGTCGAATTAAGAGGGTAAGGATTACCTGAAAGGATAGAACCAGTCTCCTTGTCCAATGTCTGCAATGGGGAAAGTAAGGTGGTCTGTTGGCATATAAAATCTTGCAATCTTGCTGGAGCATTTCGAATTCTGGTGGATCTTCTGGGTGAGTGAGGTGTAATTTGATTGTTATCAGGTTCATATTGGCTTGGCTGCTGTGTGGCTGAATCAATTTGAGTGCCGGTTTGTTCTGTGGACACTGTATGATCAAAGGGCTGGTCAGACTGATTTTCTGATTCTTTAAAAGAATCAGTTGGAACATCAATAACAGGATTTTGAGGAAAACATATATCAACAAGATTTGGCTTTGCGATTTTAGAGTCTTTGTACTGAAAAACAGTCTAATAGAACACAACATTTCTCGATATAAATACCTTATTTGTTTCCAAATCAAGAAGTTTGTACCCTTTGACATTAAAAGGATATCCTAGAAAAATGCACTTCCTAGCTCTTGAATCAAACTTGTGCCTTCCATTTATGAGAGTTGTGGAATATGTAAGGAATCTGAAGACTTTAAGGTGGGAGTATGCAGGTTTAGTTTGAAAGAGCATCTCAAATGGGCTTTTATGATATAAAGCTGCTGAGGGAGTTCTGTTGATTAAGTACACATCAGTCAATACATAGCCATTCCAATGTTTTAATGGAATTCCACTTTGAAACCTTAGAGCCCTTGCAACGTTTAGTATATGTTTGTGTTTCCTCACAACAATGAGATTTTGTTGAGGGGTTTCGACACATGTTTTCCGGTGAATGATACCCATTTCAAGATAGAATTGTTTCATGTTAAATTCTCCTCCATTGTCACTTCGAATAATTTTGATCTTGGTTTGAAACTGAGTCTTAATCAATTTGCAGAAATTTTACAGAGCACTTGCTGCCTCATATTTTAATTTTAGCATATATACCCAAGTGCATCTCCTAAAATTGATTAGTGTAATCATCTTATTAAATATGCACTTTCAAATCTTAGTTTTTAGTTTGATCTTGAGTACTTTTGAACGTTTTGATGCGTGTTTTGGTGTTGTTTTGTAGCTAGACAAATTGGATAAAAATGGAGTGATTTGAAGCTTGGAATGGAGTGACGATAATGATCATAGATGGAGGCATGGTTTGGAGAAGAAAGAATGAAGAATGAGGTGGAAAAGAAGCAAACAAAGAAAGATAAGCAAAAGGGGGAGCCAAAAAGAAAATTCAAGGCGCCACGGCGCCGAGCACCGGGGAAAATTAAAGAAAAGCGGTTTTTTTAGAAACCCGGCCCATTTCAATGAGATTTCGACCTGCAACCTAAAAGAACTATAAATACACTTTTTAAAGGCCAAAAGGGGGCTCTTTGGACGGCTAGAACGAGGAGAAAATTGAGGGCAAAGTTCTTGAAGAAATCCATTGAAAAAGGGGCGATTGACACAAATTGGAGAATAAATCAAGCGGCAATAAATAATTTTTCTAAACTCTTGTCTCCTTAATCATGTTTTTCATATTAAATTCCATTTTGTCAATTGTATTCATTATGAACTAATACTTTAGATCTAGGATTTGATGTAATCGACTTGAGACATATTTTAATTTCTAATTATCTACCTCTTTTGGATTTTTCTATTAATTTATTTATGTTGTTTATGTTTAATGCTTTCAATTACTTGACCACTAGTTGAATGAATTGATGTGTGAATTTCGGCACTTGAGAGAGGGAAATTTAGGCGTGATCATAAAACTACATAACCTAGATTTCGTAGGTTTCGAGAGAAAGTACGGATTTTTGAGGCTTGTTTGATTTAAGAACTACGTGCACTATAATTTTTACATATTTAATTCGGCGTAGAGATATTGGAATTAAATAGTAAAAATAGATTCTAGCCGACACTCGAAAGAGGGGATAGAATTACATTAGGGTTCTTGCCTATAAATTGAGATAAATCTAATTGAGTTAGTATGTTTAGGTTGAAATACATTGTCGATAGAACGATGAAATCATTCCCTAGAATTTTATAATTTGATAACTTCGTGGAATTTTGCACTTGTTTACTCACAAAGTTTAATTTACAAATACTAGTTAAAATCACATCATCATCCCAATTGCTTATCCAAATAAAGTGGAAACCACACAATTATAGTATTCAATAGAAATCATACATCAGTTCATGTGGGTTCGACATCCTAACTTTCAGACTATATTACAAAACTTGACACCGTACACTTGCGGCATAAATTCACGTTGTAAAAAATGCGTGACAAAAATCATCTACAATGGTTAGAAAATAACGTGACCTATCATAACTAAATTCATTGTAAGGTCCCCAAATGTCACAATGTATTAGATCAAAACATTTTTCAGACTTGTGCTTACTAATAGGAAGAGGCAGCTCGTGTAATTTTGCTTACTATGCACATTACATATATGCAGCCCTATGTAAAAATATAAACTTTTAGATCAAATGCTTCAACTGTCAACATATGAAGCATATGAACAACATACTGGTAATAGTGCAACAGTTAATGGCTACATTGTATTTTAGAATGATGAGAATCTACCAGTTTTCTTCTTATGACACTCCTCAAATCTTCAACATCATTTCTGTGTATGACAAAGGAAATCCATAGCCGACAAAGTAAATCACAGTTGGGTGTTTAAATATTAAAACTAAAATAAATGAATTACATTCTAGAAGTTTTTTAGCTTGTTTTAATCATATATTTAAAAATATTTTAGCATGAACGATTAATTTCATATGTTACCTATGTGATTGAATGTTGCACGCTTTTGCATAACCAAAATCAGGAAGGAGGATTTACATAGTATTTATCACAGCAAATATCTACTGCAATCTTTCGCCTATATATCATCATTTTGTCTGACGAAATGGATTATATTGGATGTCCAAAAATGAAGCACTCTATATATTTGGGCAAAAAAATTGGACAATTTGGCCTAAGGAAAATGGTGCAAGTTAGATTGCATAACTAATATAAATGTAAGTAGCAAACGGAATATTATAATAATGAATACTTACCAATTATTTGCACATGGTAGTTTAGTTGCGATTTCTACTTTCATCTTCTTGTTTCTATTCTTCCTTATATCTGTGCCTATGAGAAATGATGAAGATAGTAAAAAAATCTTAGACCACATTTAATACTGGATTGGCGAATTAAATGACTTCTTGTGCTATATGAATAACGTTGCTAGAATCATATATCCTAAATTTCCATTGACTGAAATTTACATGAAAGAGGTACCATTCACTGCCTGCAAGTTGACATGGAATCAATAGATAATTGCACTTTATCCATGGTCTACCA